TCTCCAAACCATGCCTCCATCTATGATCATAATCATCACTCCATTCCAAGTTTCAAATTACTCCATTTTAATTCAATTTGTCTAGCTACAAAACAATATCAAAACATGCATCAAAACGTTCAAAAGTACCCAAGATCAAACTAAAAGCTAAGATTTGAGAGTGCATTTTTAATGAGGTGACTACACTCATCAAATACCCCCAAACTCAGTTCTTTGCTTGTCCTCGAGCAAACACAAAACAACACACAAGAATAGTTAACTAAAACCTACATCAAACATACTAAGACATGACCTAAGATTTCCTATTCAGCTGGATAGATCATCTTCATGACTTAATGTTGAGAGTATGATATCGAATTCATGAGTCATTTCTGAGTTATGGTACCGAAGTTAAATCTCACATTTTCCATTGCAAAACACGTGCGTGAAAGGAAATTAAGAAAACAACATCATACATTCATAGGCTTCTTCAATTCCCGCCTTTAAAAGTCAATTATTTCCTTACTCCGCTCGTGGATTCGTACACCCCCAACCTCATTTTCTTTTCACTCCATTTTCCTTTTCCGAGGTAAGATCTATGGGTTGCTAGGACTACTCCTTACTCTCTCTAGTCCGGATATTTGTCACTTAATGTAGTTCGACATATCAATAAATGAGGATTATCCCTTTTTTTCGACTGCCTCAATCTCCAAGAATCAACTAAGTTACTAACCTCTTATTAAAGGTTTCTTCCTATAAAATGAGTGTTCGGGGTTGATCAAGTTATATGGTGTCTCTTCCAAATTTTTTTTTTATAATTCCCTTTTGTGCAAACCTCTATCCATTAAACCTTCTAAATGACCCCTGTAGCGACTTTTAGGTCGATGACCCCCGAGTCAGATGACTTTAGGATATCAGGTTTTAAACTCTTGCAGGATTAATCATTCAAGTCATAAGGGCTACGAATATATTTTTCACAACGAGATTATTATAGTCATCAACAAAAAAATATTTGATCAGTGCAATGCCCCTTATTAAATACTCATTCTCTAAAATTCTACCCATAACTGAAGGTTTTCACTCAATTTTCATCATTTTGATCTTGACAGTCCACACAATTTTTAGCACACGTGGAATCCACACATACATCCATGCTTTCCTACACAGTTCCAATATCCAAACAATAAGGGATGCGAAATACTGATTCATTTAGAGGTTGTTTTAGTTTAACTTCTAAGGTCACTGANTATCCAAACACATGTATCATAGTTAGCAACGTTATCCAGCCCAGACAAGCATGCAAATTTTTTTTAAATAAACACGTAACACATAGCTAACTAAATAAACATAAACACAGTATCCCTCCCAAACTCGAATGACACATTGTCCCCAATGTAAAAATGAATGAAATAAAAGGGAGGGCACCTTAGCGAGGACATTAGATGTCATTGTCGTCAGTCGGTGGGGCTGAATGATGGGAGTGATCTGGGAACTGCGGTGGTGGAGGAAGAACAAGGTCGAGGTGTGAAGAAGAAAGGGCTGGAATGCATTCATTCTCATATTGGAATTGTTGAAACATAGAATACTGCAGTTGGTTAAATTGTATCTGCATGCCAGACTGCCAACAAGTCATGCGCAAATCCATAGCCTCAAGCCAGCTGAGAATTTCTCTTGTAGGCTCCCTAGGCTGTGTTGGTGGAGTAGGTGCCGTGGGTTGTGACGCTTGAGATGAGCTGGTTGTAAATTGATGTGTTGATAGCTTAGACCGAAAAGCTCGCGTGAGTGGTAGTTTAGGATGTAAAACCTCGTCAGACTCTTATGTGGCAACACCCGCTTGGACATATAGATAATGGATGAGAGATGGGTGTCCCAAATTGCCGATAGGTCCTGCTAAGATGCGCAAGATGCTGCGGTGAATGACTCTGCCTACATTGATAGAAAGTCCCATCTGGATTTCATAGTTCAAGGTAGCTCATTCTCTTGTAACCTCACTGAGGTTGCTGCTGGGGATTAGTTTAGCAAAATGAAATGATGCCAAACTTTACAATTAAGCTCTAAACGGGCCTCGAGGAAGTTCGTCACAGTATTAGCATTACGTTTCCATTCAATCCCTTCCCAAGTTAGTGTGTGAAGCAGAAGATCTGGGTCTACACCTTGATCCAGTAAACTCGAATACTCATCATTGGGTATATCTGGTGTGTGGTAGAATTTGTTAATGGATACA